CCGGTACCAAGCTCTCCAAAGGAGCCACCGATCTCGCCGGCACCCTCAACACAACCCCTTCACAGTGTCCGTTCGACATTGAGCCACCAAGTGGAAGGCTCCGAGTTCGCTGCGCCTTTCCAGGCGGCCCAGCACAGTACTGTGCCTACGACGGCTCAAGTCGTCGATATGCGGATTCCGAAGAGTTTTCATCACATGGCTCCGCAAGAATTTTATGTCGGAACGCCAGTCGGCACACCTCACGGTGGAGCTACACCTGTTTTAAGGGACTCAATATATGTTGCTGCTCTTGAGCGTGAACTTGGTCAGACGAGAGAGATGTTAAACCAGGTATTGTCATTAGTACAGACTGGACATCCTCCCGTACCACCACCGCCTGAGCATGGGGTTCCCATGCCGTTTCGTATGACACCAGCACCACCACCAGGTCTGATGGCTGAGGTCCCAAGTGCATGTCCGAAACCTTGTGCCTGCGCCCCGATGCCGGCCGGATACCCAAACCCCATGGCAAACGTTGCAGCGTCATCGACGCAACCTCCTCCACCACAACCAGGAGCAAGGGTCTTACCACCTTCTTTCCCCGTCTTTGAGCGGACTAAGAAAGAGGACGGTGGTGGCTCCCCAAGTTCATCATCTTCGTCTAGCGACAGTGAAGTAGAGGACTTGTGTAGGATGTGTGGGGGCAAGCATCGGGAGATTAGGGTCCACACCTCACAATGAATAAAGAGGATCGTAAGGTAGAATCAACCCCGACAGCTAGTTCAGAAATCACCGACTATGCAGAACATGAGTCCGAGATTGTTTATGTCAAGGGCTTGTCGAACCTGATCCTACCCAATATACCAGTTGATTCAGGTCAAGCACGGGGATACATCAACCAGGTTCTCATGAACATTGGTTCGTTGCAGAAGACCCCAGGTTCAGACTTGTATCACTGGGCCCAAGAATGTCTTACCAAGGACGATTCCGCCCCCACGTTTTCCCAGAACTGACCGGGAAATTGCCACGAAAATGTTGAAAGTGTGCAAGTCAGGTAGATTTGGTATCATTTTTCAACGGATGGTGGAAGAATCTCGATTGTCAGGTATTGGCATGCCTTGTGGTCGCGTCATGCTTGCTACGATTTTTCGTCATTTTCAGCTAGAGAAAGACAGAATCGGCATGCTAGGCGAAAGGAACCTCCTGACCCTTAGGCTAAAGGGGCACAAGACCGAGGACCTCATAACCTTCCAAGAGAAGTACAGATACATCCTCGCTGCGATCCCCTCTGAGGACCTGCCGAGAGAGACAACTCTGTTTAATCATCTTTTGGACGAGCTTGAGCAGTTCACCCCATTAGCTACCAAAATAGCAAAGTCAAGATAGTCCCCACTAGGAAGCCATCGTCGGTCCACGAAGTGGTTGTGGGAGAAGGTGGATTTGTACATAGAGTTAGAACGGGTCAAAGCTAACAGGCAGGCCTTCGATAAGAAGTTGCGGGATTCCCATACTGCCGATCTAGCCACCACGTATAACCCTAAGGCGATCCCCGCTAATCCCGCCAAAACCGATAAACCTAAGAAAGAGAAGTCCAAGGAGGACAAGAAGAAGGAAAAGAAGGAAAAGAAAGAAAAGGCCAAGAAGGATAAACAACAGTCTGTTGAGGTTCCCGCAGCCCCGGGCCCCAAGTCTAAGGCTCCGAAAGGCCCACCAAAGGCCAAGCCCAAAGGCAACACGCCAACACCTCCGACCACACCAAGGTCACAGCAGGTCAAGCGTGCGGCCGACATGACCGCCCAGGAGAAAGCGAGAACACCCTGTGCGTTTTACGCGTACAACAGCTGTCGCGCAAAGCAGTGCGCGTTCCTTCATGACTCGCAGAACAAATACAAGGGACCGCCTCCGAAGGCTCTCCGCTTCCCAAAGGAGAAGGCAAAGGCTACCGCCGCTGTTGCACAGGTGCACGCGCTCCCTGTCTTTTCAAATGGGAAGATCTCCTGGCTATGGGAAACCGCTGCTGGGAGACATTTGTTCGGCAAACAAGCCTTAACTTCAAGCATGAGACAACATGCCGCCCCCAAAGTGTGAAATCTTTGGGGTTTAAAGGCAGTCCCATCCTTGATGGAGAAGAGGTCTACATCTTGAATGAATGCCCCCCGGCGCAGTCCATAGGGAAGACTGTTATGGACAAGGGGTATATGTTCATATGGGACCCTCGCGAGCAGGTACCATACCTAGTACCGCCCAGCGTGGTCCCCAAGTGTAGGCTTCGTGTCCCAAGAAAGCATCGGATTTGCGCCAGCCGTGTTGTGGAGTACGTTCCCCAGTACGACGAAGAAGTCACCCCTGTTGACTTTGTTCCACCAGACCGGTTGCAACCAATGGGTGCAGTTGACGCCTCCCCGGCTTCCACCAATCATGAAGATTCCATGTTTTCTGATGGGGAGCTTTCCACACCAAGTGTGGCGGATGATGTCGTTAGCGAACCTATGGACCTCGATTCCGATGTTTCACCAAAGTCCAATTCTAGTCAAAGTAAGGGTTTTATAGCCGCTGCCCCCAGCTCGGGCGCGGAGAGGGTTCCTCCACATCCCGATGACGACAAAACATTGTTGGAGATTGCGGATGTCGAGTTGGATGGCACACCCGAGGCGCTAAAAGCTGCAGCATTCGAAGAGCCACACATTTTGACCCATTATCCTAAGAACCCTTATTGTCCTGTTTGTCAAATTTCTAAGTCCACCAGCAAGAGGGTGGCGAGAAAGCCCGACACCCGAGATGATGACATGATTGATCCTCCCAAAGGACCATTCGAGCAACTGTCAACTGACGACGTGATCATGGCCAAGGGCGATGACTTCGCCGGTAAGGGGACGGGTGGGATTAAGGTGTTCCATATAGTCAGAGACACCTTTTCTGGCGCAAGGATAGCTTATCCCATGGTAAATAGGACAGCTAGCAATCACGCCAAGAACTTTAGGCATTTCTTGGGGCTAAGAGCAAACGAGTTAGCATCATGCGTCCTCATCAAAATGGACGAGGCAGGTGAGTTGGAACAAGCCGCTCATGAGGTCGGTTTGCTCCCCGAAGTCTCACTCCCCAACAGGTGGCCCCATAACGCCACACTGGAACGAGACATTCGTGAGGAAAAAGAGTGTTGTCGTGCAATCCACATGCAATCCGGGTTGCCATACGAGTTTCACACATACTCGTTTCCATATGCCTGCATGTCGATGTCGTTCGATCGCCCGTCATTGTCAGACCCAGCCAAGTCACAATGGGAAGCCCTAACCAAGTCTAAGTTCGATGGCATTCGTAGGTGTTTTGGTCAACTACCTAGACATCGCTATGACATAATTTTTTCGGTTTTTGGCCAGAAACCAAAAAATATTGGTTCTGGGCCTTTTGCGCAAACTGTAGCTAGTTCCTTCTCGGCTTTTCGAAAAGCCAGCATGTGGCAAGGCCCAGATTTGGTGCCAAACCAGGAATGGATGAATATGTGGAACCGTGCATGGAGCACTCATGGCAATGAAACGACCCTTTGGAAACGGTGAGCTGTTCTTAGCAGTTTGGGGGGACAATTGTTTTGGGGAACTCCGTGGGAATAAAGGTTTCCATGTATCGCAGAATACATCGAAGCCTTTATTACGCTGATGGGGAAATGGTTTTCGTGGTTTTTGTCGAAACACTGAAAAAATCACTGCACTGAAACCGAAACCCGTTGTTGACCAACCGTATGGTAATAAAGGTTTCCATGTGTCGTTGGATACATCGAAGCCTTTATTCCGCTGATAGTAAAAACGTTTCCGTGCAACAATTTGATTTCGCTGAAAAATTTCCCAGGTGAATACTGTGCGTCAGATCACATTGAAACCTGCCTTCTGTTTAAGGGGCCTATACATAGCGTTTCTTTTCTAGATTCCCAAAGAATGCGTGCGCGCAATGCCGTTTCAATGCTTGAACTGGTGTCTGCGCAATCTTTCACTTTCGTTCCCACAATCGCTTGGTTACGACCAACCACTTCTGAGCCGATCGCAGCGCTAAATTGCGCGGGTGCACTGTGCGCCCTATCCTACAAGTGCGGCCCACATAGTCCTCTGCCATTTGCGTGCTGAACAAACCAGGGTTCAACACATCTTGGAGCTCAGGATTGCTGAGTTGCACCAACAAGTCATCGGCCACATGCATTATGTAGTGGACTTTTGGAACTATTGAGAAGAAACATTGCCCTCGGTCGTAACACGCGCGGGCGCAGGCCAAATACTTCTCAATCCACAGACATAGCAAAGCTAAGCATTGAGCGCCATCACTCTTTGGCAACAACGGTTTTTTTCTGTCAAAACAAATCCGAAGGAATTCATCCATAGCTTTGCAAGCAACAAACCCGGCAAGTTCAACAGGGTCGTCTGTTTGCAAGTCTCCTAGGAAAGCCACCAGCCATCTCAAAATGAGTCGGGTGTCTGAACCCTTGAAGCTGCAATCCGGAAAGGAAGCCATCGATGACCACCCAAGATTTTCTTTCGTGAAGTGCTTGACCATGGGCACTTCTTTGATGGACTTGCAAAAACTCCTGAAGGAAGTATAGGCGCAGGACAATTTGGACAATATACTCGTCCCAACCTCATCAGGCGCTATTCACAAATTGTTTCTATCTGGCCCGGGAAACAAAGCCACATCAATGAAAAAAGTTCGTCTAACACAACATACAAAACATACCTTGTCCCAAGTCGGGACCAACTTGGTGTTGGGAGCCATGTTGGGAAGCCTGGCATTTGGACCCCCCTCTTGGAATACCGCAACACTATTTGTCCAAAGTCAGGACCAACTTGGTGTTGGGAGCCATTTTGGGAAGCCTGGCATCCGGACCCCCTTGGAACACAAAGGAAAACGCAAAACTAAACACTATATTATATATATTTGTTGTCTAGGCACAAAGCGGCCAGAAGTGCAAATGTAGCACAGGAGGTTAATTGCAAACAAACGAGCTGCCCCAAGATGGCAAAGGTGGAACACATCCTTTGCTAGAAACCTCTCATTGTCAGCACCTGGCGCACCGTGCAACGGTGATGGTACATTCCATGGCCGTTGGGCCCCAATTGTATCCCGCCATCGAGCATTTCCTCTCGCGTCCGTGAAGGGAACACCTTCATCATCAGCAAGGCACCAAGGACACATTGGGTTTGGCGGCCGGCAAAAATGTCGGGCCAAATGGTGAGCTCGTGCTTGCGCAGGCAGATCGCCTTCGTGCGCTACAAACACCAGGTACACTTTCCCAACAGTTGCGGTCTCAATGCCTTCAATGTAAACACTTTGCATTTGGGACGCTAACTCCCTCGACAGCTCATCCAAAACAGCGTTTCCTCCAACAAATCCAGCGTGGAAATCCTTGTACTCTTCATGCGCAATGCAAGACCAGAAGAAGTATCTGTCCCAGCTGGCTGTATTACTCGTCAGCACAGGCCCCCACGAAAACTGATAGATCCCTGTTTTCCGCAGACCTGTCCCTTCATCAGAATGCAACTTCACAGGGATACATTTGCGAAGGTTGCTTTGGTGATCGCTGAATACTGGATGGCTCGGGTTTGAAACATGGTAAGCTCTCCAAAAACTGTGTAGTAGGTCTTCCATATCCTCTTCCCAAAGTTTTGACGGATAATTCACCAGCACATATTCTGCAAGTGTTCGTATCTCTAGGCAACACTGTTTGCGCTCAGCTTCTCCTTCCACTCGGAAAGAGAATGTATTCACTGGAATTGGCAAAGCCCGACCAATATTCAAAATTTCTCGCAGCAAAATTGTTTCTTTGCTTGAGCTCGTGTGAGCAAACGCAAGCTGCAACAATTCAGCGTGTCCATCCGTTCCTGGGATCATCGTAGTGGCATGGTTGGCAGCAATTTTTGCAGCGTGTGTTGCTCCTTGTGCCTCAGATTCCAGAAAAATCAGCTGGAAAAACTGTCAATTTCCATTGAGGGGCCAGTGAATACAAGATAGTTGGTTGTCTTGAGGACAAACAACTGTCTTGTATTCAGACATGGTTTGTCTTCAAGTTCCCAATAGATTTGTGAATGCTTTTTGGGGGCGCTGGAATTCAGGATAGCTGCTTCCATGCCAAGTGCAGGAAACAGCTGTCTTGAATTTCCTTGTGGGTCATCCCAGTCAAGTTACCACATAAGCGTCAAGCACCAGGTTCACTGCTTCGCGACCTGCAGAAACTAAATGCTGACTTTGGAACAGTTAAAGCACTTACTTACAGTTGCTCACAGCCAATTGCCTGAATTGCGCTCAAAAAGCACTTCCAGGCAAACACATTTCATCCTCCGCAAGCAGGTTGACCCCTTCAACTTTAAATCCTCAACCCTCGACGATTGCGAGGGAAAAACCCCAGAGCAGCAAATCGACTGCAACCAAAAGGCCCTGCCAACAGGGTTCAAACTCAAACACTTTCACTAAATATCAACATTGCTTACCGCTTTGAAATTGACAAAATGAAACTGAAACTTGCCAATTTGCAGTCTTTTTGAGCCCACCCAAGCATTGGTATTGCTAGTCCGCCGGCTCATTTTTAGCCGGAGTCTCAGGGACATTGGGGACTGCCGGGGCATCAGCCTTCTTCCTTTTCTTAGGAGCTGGCTTGAAATGCGTCTTTAACGCAGCCAGCTCATTGTTGAACTGGATACACTTAGCCTTGATATTGTCACAAACGGTCTTGTAGACTGACTTGTTGCCAGGGTTGGTACGATTCTGCACAACCTCTTTTTCGCTGAGCTCTGAATAGAGAGTGGAAAGCTCGCCTTGTCTTGTCATGGAAATAGGTTAGCATCAAAGCCCCTTCAATAAATAAGAATCAGAACAACCCAAAAACTTCTAAAGTGGGAGGTCAAGTCACCTGCTGTCCTTTCAAGCGCTTCAAATTCATTCCTAAGTGCGGAGAAGGCAAAATCTCCAAAGAGGTCAATAAGTTAGTTAACTACCCAAAAACTTGCGGCAAAAAAGTGTTCGTAGGTGGTCAAGGATCTTTCCCGTTTGAGGCACCTCGTGGAACCATCTCAAGCGAGTCTGCTGAAAGGTTTGTTTCCGGTTCAGGCTGGCTTTCTTGTACTTCTGGACGTATTCCTGGACGGTCTCCTTCCCCTCTAGGTCTGGGAACGGGTTCTTGCTCTTAGGAAGTTTCTTCTGGTCATCTTCCTCATCATCGCCACCATTCAGCTCGCCTTCATCATCAGACAGCTCCAACAGGTCACCCATCCCAAGGTTCAAGGAGAACTGCTCATTCAGCAACCCAGCCCCTTCAGCAATCTCTTCGAGTTCTCTCAACCGTTCCGTCGCAGACCTCAGATTCCACATTAGGACGAGGAAAGAAAGCAGGACACAGTATTGTTTAGTTCAATATTTGTAGGCAAACTGAAATTAAGAAAGGTTGTAACAAACATTTACTTTACGCACTTCAAGCGACGTCACCGTATCCGACACCAACACCAGATACTTGGTCTTCTTCTCATAGAGGCACGATTTGGTCAGCTTCTTCTTTTTGCAGTGCTCCACTGCGCCCTTGATTTTTGTCCTTGCTTGCACCCCAAGTATGGAAAGAGAAAGGAACATATAAACGTGAAAATTGCTAATCGCAACCTTCCCAAAAACCTTGAATTGAGTTCAATTCAAAAACGAGTATCTCCGACCACCCGTGCTTGCTCGCCATCTCTTCCTCCGTAAGCCATTCCCAGCCCTGCATGTTTTTCTTCCATTCTTTGCTTGCCTGCTTGAGCTTGACGTATGCTTCCAACCGCAATCGATTGGAGGAGTAGTCTGCGTTCTTGTCGTAGCACTTTGTGACAAAACTGTGTAGGAGTGAATTTCGGGCCTGTCCGCCCGCCCTCCAAGCTTCAAGGATGTCTTGCGATACCCCTTTTGCTTCACCACCCTTACACATTCTGTATAGAAAGGACCACGCCTCTCTGCAATTCACTGAGTTGAGTGGGGCCACCGGACCCTTCCCCTTCTGGTTGTTCTTCTCCTCTTCCGTTGAAGCCGTTGGTTCGTGAAGTGCTTCTGCTGAGCTGCCATTGTGCTCCTGCTGCCACTGCTTCTGCCTTGCTTGCGAGCGTAGGCTTGAAATAATGAAACGCATTTTAGCAACAAAAGAAAGTATGAAAGCTTCATCTAATCTCAAAACAAAGGCCAAAGATGCAAAATGGGAGAAGGCTCAGGTGGAGAAGGCGCAGTAGCGACAGGCGTGTCAACAAGCGTAGAAGGCGTGCGCACCACCAGTCCTGGCGAGACAGGCTGATCAAGCCACTTTCCGCTGCCTTGCGGAACCAAGCCGGGCTGAAAAGGCGTCTGTGGAAGAGCAGGTAAGACTGTGGGCTGTGTGGCGCCAGAAGCCTTGAAGAAAGGTGGCAAAGGTGGAGCCGCAGGTCGCCCAAGGGAGGGGGGACATGTAGGCATTGGCTTCGGCCTGAACACGAGGCGTTTTGGGGTTGGTGCCACAAATTGATGCTGTTCCATTTGCTGCTGTGGCGCAGGCTTGGACATCCTGCGCTGACAATCAAGCTCCATAGCTTGCAAGCTTTCTTTGAAAGCGTGGGACATAGTGCCAGGGGATGGTGCTGGTGGCACAACTTGCCCTGCTCGCAATCTCTTCGCTGATGGCGTTGGTGGCGGAGACATGCTCTGTTCAGGCCGAGGTTGCTGCACTGCTTCTTTTGCTATGGCTTGCTGCTCCGTTGGCTTCTGTTGTTCAAGAAGCTGTTGTTGAAGCTGCTGTTGGCGTTGCTGTGCCATGAGCTCTTGCTGTTGCATCTGCCTTGCTGTCTCTGCCATTGCTTGCTGTTGCTTGAGCTTCTGTTCCTCAAGAAGTCGTTGTTGAAGCTGCTGTTTGTGCTGCGCCATGAGCTCTTGCTGTTGCATCTGGCTTGCCTGCTCTGCCATTGC